TGAGTGCAAACAGGACTGATTGGAGCTCCTGCTCAGCCCTAGCGCCTGCAACAGCTCTCCAGTCAAGTCACCATGCGAAGATGGTAGAAGAGCGATGGTCCTGACTCCTGAGTGCTAGGATGGGGGGACTAGGTCAGTGTCAGTCGGGCTCTTGTGTTGGGGGGGGTCTCTAGGGGGATTGTTTAGGGCTGATAGCCTGCCTCCTATGTTGTCGCACAAAAAAAATCAGAAACAGGCTCGTGATTGGCTGCCTCCAAGGGGGATTGTTTAGGGCAACGAATATTCCAAATATATAGCTGCACAGCAATACTAACAAGAAATCACGATAATGCAAAATCTCATGGACGCCGAACAAGAACAATTTTTGCAAGGGCAGGAACCAACCTCCAACGAATTACAAACCCAAATACTAGATTTAAAAGTTCAACTCTTGAAGTATGCACAGTATCTATGGCAGGGAGCCCAGATAAGGGCAACGCTATCCAGACTCTCGACCGAAGGAGTGATGAACGCTCAATTCTTCAGCCTAGCTAGGCCACGTTTAAAAGCAAAATGATCGAGGCGCTCTACAAACCACAAGCCATGGAATCGGATCCGGCTGTGTCCACAGCTCGTTGCATCAAGATAACATATGACTTCTACAAAGACCTTTTCGCCTCGCACGTTGGGATCAGACTCACGGTACCATGATCGTCAACTAAAAGCGTTTTTAGAACCAGTAAATCAGTCATTGACATCTTAACAGTGTGATTTTATAAAGGCCTCAATTTCCAAGCAGGAAATTTGGACCGCCCTCCTGCAAATGAAGGAGGAAAAAACACCAGGGATTGTCAGGATATCATGGACTTCTATAAAGAAGTATGGCTTACAGATGAGATGGGTGAAAAGATGGGGCAAKAAGTATTGACCCTCCTATATAAAAAGGGGGTAAAATGGATATTAGAAACTACCGCCCTATCACACTTCTCACATTAATATACACAATGTTATCTAAAGCCTTAGCTAACAGAATGATCTTTGTAATGGAAGACATCATTCATCCCTCTCAAACCGGCTTTATGGAGAACAGGAATATACAAGAGAATATTTTTTTAATCCATGAGGTACTCCAACTCACGAGACACTCTCATCAGAACGCATCGTTAGTCTTTATCGACTTCGAAAAGACTTACGATCACGTAGACTGGTTGTTCTTAGATAAATGCCTGGGAAAAATGAATTTTGGACCAGACTTCAGACGTTGGGTTCAGATCCTGCACCAAAATGCAACCATCTGCATTCAAGTTAATGGGTGCATGACACCACCCCTACGCCTGGAACGTTCGGTCCGTCAGAAGGACCCAATTGCCCCCTTCCTATTTTTTTTCATCATGGAAGCACTAGCTGTCAACCTCCAGGCAAACAAGAACATTACCAGAATCCGAGTCACGCACATCCCGGAGGAGGCAATCCCGGTGTGCTCCTTTTTTGCGGATGATCTCACTATCTTGGCAGAGACCACACACAACAATATGGAGGAAATCCAGCAAATGGTGGAAAAGTTTGCGAAGGTTTCCGATATGACAGTCAACTGGGGGAACAAAACTCAAGGATGGTGGATTCATTAAACGCCCTCCCGAGTCACCACGTATTAAATGGATGCCTTTARAGACCCCAGTAAGAATTCTTGGGRTTTCCATGACCACCGAGGGACGCCCACCAATCAGAGATGMATGGATTAGCGCCTCGGCATGACAAAAAWTAGATAACTTGAGAAATAAACACACATYCCTCTTTGGTCGCGCCKTAGCGGAGGGGAGGCCCCAAAGCAGGTCACATCAGCCTAYACCAGTTGTCGGTCAAATCAGCCTATAAAATGCTCATACCTAAAAAACGGCTGAGAGACACARTAAACGAYCGATGGGCCAGACACCTAAATATGGATCGTTCYCTTTCGACTCTAATTAAATGGTTCTAAGAACAGAAAGCAAAACCCATGAAAATCACATCCTTGCAGTGGCAGATTGYCCACCGTYGTCTGCCAACAAATGACTGGCTGACCGACCGTACTAATTTAGAATAAAAAGGTCGGCTGCTTCCGTGGTGTCAACGGTGTCAGAGTCTTTTCCCTTTCTAYAAGAAGGCGAAAACCATCGAACACATCTTCATGCAATGCCTGATSGCCCAATTTATATGGAGATGGTGGGATCACATATGGAGAAAGATGGAATCTGCAATTYCCTGGCCCTAGTCTTGGGAAGCCATATTGGCYGGCCATTGGCCACAGGCAAAAGCAGCCACGACTTTCGTAGAAAATATGTACAGACTTGGAAGGAGAGCAGTGATATGGGCACTTTGGTGACAAAGATGCACGCTGGCCATGGAAAAGGTGAGAGCAGAGGAGCCAGAAATCACTGAACAGATTAGCAGCAGGTACATTTCGAACTCACACAAAGGTGGCTAGACATAAAAGCACAGTTAGACCTCTTTAAACAAGTAGGAGATGTTAGGAGACGGATCCCAACATTTTGCATAGACTGGGTGGGAGGAGAGAGAGAAGGATGGATTGCAAGAGTAGAATGGAGCGGAGACAGGGGAGAGGGACATAGGGACTTGGAGGAGATGAGAGACTGGACAAACATAGAACCCTCATTGAATTTCCCACTTCGGCCCCCCACTGATTTTCCAAACCCTTTCCCACCCAATGCTCTTTCCCTGGCAGAGATCCTGTCCTGAATGATAAAATCCTGCAACCCAGTCTTCTACACATTCTTACTCATACAAGGAACTCCTCCCTGGAGCCCCCGGGGACGTTTCTCCTCTGTTAACAACCATTTTTCCTTCTTTTCACTGCTCAGTGAGCCCCCCTTTCTACGGATTGGGGCAGTCAATGCTGGCAGCCTGAGCACTCTAAACAAGAAAGTATGGGGGACTGGGAGGGGGAGGGAGGAACTAGTGTGTATCAGTACGTATCCGACACTGGGTTCAGGGTGAAGAGGTTCCCCCTTCCTTCCAAATATCCTGCTGAGTCAATCCCCTGGATCCCAGGGTAATCAATGCTGGTAGGGTGAAGAGGTTCCCCCGTAACTGTTTTTTCTGATGTACTCTATATTCAATCTGTATATGGGACGCTGGACCCGTTTTCCAGCAGGTGATGCTCCCCACCAATAGATGGAGCCTCTCCCCAGGTGCTAGTGGTGTCTGCTCTTATCAGCGCCACTAATGTTAAAAAAAAAAAAAAAAAAAAAAAAAAAAAAAGAGTDTACACAGTGAACAACCTAACAGATTAACGRCAGTAATAACYACAATGTATACAACCGTAGGAATAACAATAGGTCCACCTACGAGGCTTGTAAAGAACGCCTTCACCTAGCGCCCGAAGTACCCGGCGTGTGACAAGGCTCGTTCGAATATGCTTCGATCAGGGATGAGCAGTGGGGTCCTGCTAGCCCTGATATCTGCAACCACAGTCTGGTTATGCTTCGATCAGGGCTGACCAGTGGGGTCCTGCTAGCCCTGATATCTACAACCACTGTTTGGTCAAGTCATCCCCGTCAAGAGAAGATCGGACATGTTAGTCCTGAGTGGTAGACACTGATGTAGGATTGTGGAAGTAGGGGTGCGCAGGAAACTAAGGAAGGGTTGGGAAGGGAGTATCATAGGATTACAGGGGCCATCATAGAACACTGGATGATCCCATGGCTGAGTGCTGAGGCTAGGTCATAGGTCCATAACCCAACCTCTACAACAACCTGGGCTTTCTTTAAAAGTAAAAAAAAAAAGGATTGGGGGAGAGCGGGTGCACCGTGAAGATTGAAGGGAGGAGGGGGGGTGGGGCCAAAGAAAGAAACAAACAAGAAATAATGGCGGACGCTGCATGTTTTAAGACCCTAAAGGCAAAAAAAACTTGCGCTGGCAAAGGAACCACGCCCCAACTCAAAATGAGCAATTTCGGCCCAAAAGTATCCGCTGGGCTTTTTTTCCACCCCCTCTGACACCAAGGCCGACCCCTGTAAATATGACACCCAGTCTGACACCATGGACGTCACACACACACATTTTCTGTCAGTCGGTCTGGTTGTCAGACAAACTGTCTGAAACCTGGCTGGTCGTTCAACAGTCAGACAGACATTGCAACAGAGTGGGTGACCTTTCATGCGGTCGTCCTCTTCATCCTCCACCTCCCCATGCCCATCTCCGCAGTCCTCCTCCCCATCGTCCTCTTCCTCCTCCTCCACCTTCTTCCTCCTCCTACTCCCAGTCCTCTTCATTTTCATCCGTCGTATTAGTTTTTTTTTCTTTTTTTTTTTCTTCTATAAGGAGGAGGAAGATCATCTAGAGTACATGATAAGGGGGAGGAAGTGGAAGACGAAGAGGAGGAGGAAGACGAAGAGGAGGAGGAAGACGAAGAGGAGAGAGACGAGGAAGATGACGATGAGGAGGAGGAGGAAGATGAAGAGGAGAAAGACGAGGAAGCTGGCGATGGGGAGGAGCGAGATGTCGGGTTACAGGACGAGGAGGAGGATGAGGAAGAAGGCGCTGGGACGAAGACGATGCTGGGAACTTCAAGGAAGAGGGAGAAGATGTCGGCTTATAGGACGAGGAGGAGCATGGCGACAATGACAGGGGGGAGGTGGAGAAAGTAGACTTACCAGCGATGGCGACTCTTGGCGACGGCGACAGCTGGATGACGAGGGTACCGCAGCAGCAGGCCTCCACGAAGATGGCGTCGGTGGCAGCTCGATGGCGAAGGCGTGGGAGCGGCAGGCCACATCAGCAGCATTATTCGACCTGCTCGGCGATGGCGACGAGCAACAAGCCGGAAGAGAACAACTACAGTGGCGTGGAGGGGTGATGAGGGGCGGCGGGTATACTTTCCGGACACAAATTCAAAAATTGTCCCAGAACGATCTCCCCCCTGCCCAGCGTCACCCCTCCGACCTGCGCTGGGCCCCCATGGGCTACCCCAGCCCACCCCTGGGCCTACGGCGCCAAAACTGCCCCCCCCCACACACACACATACACGCGCGACGTGTAGCAGTGTATATTTCGATGTTCTCGCGTCTCTCTCTCTCTCTCTCTCTCTCTCTCTCTCACACACACACACACACACACACACACACACACACACACGTACACACACACACACACACACACACACGTTCGCACACTGTAGTAAGGAAACAATCAAGGAATGGAAAAAAAAAAAAAAAAAAAAATCCCATTCCTTGATTTTTTCCTTATTACACTGGAAAATCTCAAATTGAGAAAATCTCAAATTCAGATTTCAGGGTCACTCAGAGGAATTCTGGGATGACACATACACACACCTGATTCCACTGTTGGAAACCAGCCCCAGCCTCCGAACAACAATAGATCATGGCCTACCGGAGGGAGTGAGTTGGCAGCAAATGTGCCACCGATTACTGCCAATAGTGGCAATGAGACTCGACCCCCCGCCAGCTCAAGGCTAAGGAAGCTCCAACAACCCTTCCACTCCAGGAGGACAAAATGGAAAAAAAAAAAGTTTCCCCCTTACTGAAATTTCGTAAGAAGACTCAAGTCATAAAGGGGATAGTAGAACAGTACCACCAGCAGTCACAAACCCCGGTACAAAGGAAAAGGGAGAGTACACAGGAAAATGCATGGACAGTGAGAGGTCGGTGGTCATCAAAGGACTAGGAGCAGTGAACAAAGGAATATTTTTTTTTTAAAAAATATTAATCCCTAACAATCATGTAGTAAGACAAGCAAAAGAATACTGCAGCAACGCCACCACAGTGCATACAGCTGAATCGAGCTCCTGCCCACCAGCTCTGGAAACTACTTTACAACTCCCTCAGTCGTCAACGCAGAATGCAAAAGCAGATTTGAAGGAACGCACAATGCAGCCCCTGGGGCAGAAGGACACAGAGACAGACAAAAGACAAAGCTTGGACAGAAAGGAGGGAGAGGAGGGTGAAGGATCACTAGGGGGGGGAAAGGAGGAAGAAAACTTTCATTGGATGGGGGCTTTAGGGGATGAGGGCAGTGGACCAGACAGGGAGCAAGGGATGAGGATACTAACGGGTCAGCAAGGGGATAAAGGCAAGGAAAAGAAAAAAGGTGAGGGAGAGAAAAAAGGGTCCATGGGGGAAGTTCCTGAGAAGATTGGAAATCCAGTGGGAGAAAAAGACTGGGAGGAGGAATCGCAAGGGGAAGGATCAGGGGATGGCTACCTGCAGAGAGAAAAAAGGTTGGGGGAGGAAATGCAAGGGGAAGAGACAGGGGATAGYRAACTGTCGAGGGAGTTGGAAGATAARTCATCTAAAAAGGTGRAAAAATCCACAAWCACCTACAKCATCCAAGGGGAAGAGTCAGGGGATTGTGAACTGCTGCTGGAGTGGRAAGATAAAYCACCTAAAAGGGGRRAAGAGTCCAYAACCACCTTCAGCATMAAAAAAGTGGTATCTGAATTAACAGGGGAAAACAAATTTCTGTTGCTGCCTCAGTCACAAGAAAACCTAACGGAGGAACARCAAGAGAAAGTGAAACACGGGGAACCAAAGGAAGAAAACCTCCAAMYAAWRAAATCCCAATCCATCATACTGCAGAAACACCTCGCTCTYCCCCCTATTCCACCACCGGATRACATGATAGTCAGCAAAAGACAGAAACTGCACTCTTTACTTTCGAAAGRCTTTGCAGAATTGTCACTCTCCAAACCGGGTATCTTGATTCTGCCTATTAGACAAAGTGAAGGGGAGTTGGAGGTCGGTCTTTCTGAACCAGCTGGATCAGCACATAGAGAAGTAAKTGTACAGGGAACACCGGCTGGTCTTCTCACACCTTGGCTAGGGAAAATGAGATRGGAAGCACGTTTCAAGGCTGAAATAGCCAAAGTCATTCAAAAACAGCTTCCACAGGGGGGGGTAGCAGTGCTCATCCTGTCAGCAGATACTCACGAGGTATCGGCTACATATGTATTCCTTTGCTACGAACATACAAAGAATGTCAATTTACGCTGGCTCACCTCAAACACGCTAGCTGAGCTCCAACAGTTGAAAATCAAGGCGGGGGAATTTTGGTCGGAAACCGACGTCATAATCTTACTCTCTCGTCTCCTGAGGAACAGGCAAGACCTACTAGAACAGGGAGGTAAGTTGGACTCAAGTCATTGGCTAACCCTATGATCATTCTCAGACCATTTTCAGATTCACTAAATATTTTCAAAATTATACAGTTAACAGATAACACCAATTAAAAGATGGAGGCTATGAATACAGTGGACGTGCTTTATAATAGACACACAGAATGGAAACTGCTAAAAAGAGAGGCAGGTTTAGACCTTTGATCTTTAAATGTGAATGGCCTAGCGTCTGTCAATCCAAAGAAAAGACAGGCTATCTATGAACAATTCAAAGGATTAGATGACAGAGAATGGCCCGATGTTATCTGTATACAAGAAACACACCTGATGGGCAATGCGGACCATCAACACTCACACAAACAGATATGGCATCATCAAGCCTTTAGATCACACTCCCCATGGCCAGGTAGCGCAGGGGTAGCTATTTGGATCCCTCCGAACTCAAGGATCGAACCTCTATACTGGGAGGCAGATAAGGAGGAGGGGAGATGGGTATTCTTATTAGCAATGCAAGAAATAGAGGTGATAACCATTCTTTATGTTTATGGTCCAAATGAAGTAGGGGAAAGAAGAAGGTTCTTCGAATCGTTAAAAAATCTYCTCCCAGTTGGGATCCCGGTGGTAATGGCAGGTGACTTCAATGCAACACCCAACCGTCAGCTGGATCGTTGGCAGATCCCCTCCCCTTGCCCAACATATATTGAAACGGATGARCAAATCATTGAGAGTTTATGCCAGTCACTTCATCTCTTTGATGCTTACAGACGCCTTTTCCCAACAAAACGAACCTTCACATGCTTTAGAAAGACTCAAACAATGAGAACCTCAAAATCCTGCATAGACCTTATACTTTTATCAAATGAGTTGGAAGGTGCACTCCAAATAACTGATATTTTCCCTCAAAGTGTCTTTCCAGGCCTCGATCATGCAATGAATGTGATTTTATTATCATTTAGGAAAAAGCCGGATCAGGGCAGAGGTTTCTACAAATTGAACACTTCCTTACGTAAGATAGATCGATTTAAGGAATACATGCAGGATGTCTGGTCCTTCTGGAGGGAACAAAGGGACCTAATCCGAGATGATATAGTTTGGTTCAACAACGGTTTAAATTTTCTAGGTCGTAAATGCAATGAATATTCCAAATTGCTTGCCCAACAACGCCATCTAGAAGAAATCAATTTACACAAGCAACTCAAAGACTTACACCAACAARAAGAGGAAAAAGAAAAYGATACAAATTCAGACAMGAYAAATGCTGAAATTAACAGTTTGGAATCCAAATTACTAGACCACATGGAACATCGATGRCATGGAATCAGAATTAGAGGTAAGATGAGAGGTTATATCACGGAAGGATCTATGGATGCTAGGTTCTTCGCAATAGCGAAGRCGAGGACAGGCAGGACGATTATTGAAGCCCTCTCAGATCCCAAAAACAATCATCAATCTTTGAAAATATCGACAGYAGCATGCACCAAAATTGCGAGAGATTTTTATAAAAATCTTTTCACATCGGAATGTAAACACCARCYYAAAKAACAAAGGGTGGAGGAAATAGAGAAATTCCTTCAACCCTTGAACAAAACAATAACAGAACAGCAGAGYTCCATGCTAGATGAGTSACTGACAAAAWAAGAAATCTGGACYGCTCTTATGATGATGGAAGAAGAAAAGACTCCAGGAATAGACGGTCTACCMAAGGAATTTTGAGAAACTWTGTGGGATTTTCTCGCCCAAGATCTCATGGATTTCTACCAGGCAGTATGGGYCTCAGGTAGAATGGGRGAACTAGTCAACCAAGGGGTGTTGACTTTGCTTTATAAAAAAGGAGAYAAGACAAATATTCGTAATTACAGACCTATCACCCTCCTTCCAGTGGTCTATAAATTRGYYGCGAAGGAGTTAGCGAACCGTTTACTGAAAATAGCAACCGAGATCATCCATCCCACTCAAACAGGATTTATCGAGGGAAGGAACATTCATTGTCATTCAAGATAACATATTACTAGTAAATGAGTTAAYCAAATTATCAAGACAATCCAGACATAATGCTGMATTTATATTTATAGATTTCGAGAAAGCCTACGATCATGTGGATTGGYTCTTTYTGGACAAATGTTTGGAAAAATTTAACTTCGGTCCTGGATTTCRGAGGTGGATAGAGATTCTGCACTCAAATGCCACAACCAGGGTGATGATAAATGGAAATCTAGCACCACCAATCTCACTCGAGCRATCAGTGAGACAAGGAGATCCGATTGCCCCTCTCCTTTTTGTATTCATAATGGAGGCTCTAGCAGCTAATCTACGATGCAATAAGGATATTAAAAGAATACAGGTTAGTTATATTCCAGAGGAGGCTATACCGGTATGTTYACTATTTGCTGATGATCTGTCACTAATGGTAGAAGCCTCTCCGGACAATTTAGCAGCAATTAAAAGTTTAATGGATAAATTCTGTAAATTATCAGATATGAGGGTAAACTG